TTGGAAACTTACATTGATATATAGAATTATATTATTAGAACATAATATAAACAAATATACTTTATAACGCTATTATACAACAGCAATACAATGGGAATGTCTCTACAGATCAAGAAATAATAGAAGATGTTCTATTAGAATTGAATTGCTTTTTTCAATATTTTCATCATCAATTTATTTCTTTATTTTGTATTGATATTTTGCAACACTATAATACGTCAACTATCAATTTTCACGTTTTAATGATAAAAATGTTATATTCTTATATGAAATGGTAGTAATTTGTAAAACAAATAAATCAATTATATTGCTTAATAAAGATAATACCAAATGAACAAGTTATTTGTTTTATAAATTTACTCATTTTTTTTAGAAATAAGTGATAATTAAATTCCATAATAATAAATATTATTTATTACTTAATATTTTTAAATATTAAACAAACCATAAGTTTAATTTAAAAAAATTAAAAATGAAAAATAATTAATTACATACTCATTTAAAGAATAAAAAATTGATAGAAACAATTTAAGGAACATCAATAAAGTTAATTGAGTTTTTAGATAATATTGAACGAATAACAGAATTGTTTTGTTTTAAGATACACTCTTTTTTTTTAACACTTGTTAACTGGGATAAAAATATACTAACTTGCTCGCCTATAGTAGCTATATTTTTTTTATTAAATAGAAGAACTTTTTTGTAATAAACTTCTTCAATAAAATCAATTTTATTTCTATTAAATTTGTTTTTCATTTTACTTGTAATAAACATAAATCCAAAGTCAGTTGCAATATCAACTAATAACTCAAACAATACAACCATTTTTTCTTCTTCTAAACGATGTTTAATATTTTTTTCTGTTGACTTTTTAATATTGGTTTGACTTAAATACCACTGACATCGTTCTATTAGAAATGGTTCAACATCAAAATTTTCTTGACTAAAGTGAAGTGTTTTAACTCTAAATATTTGTTGAGTTTGACTTGATTTTTTTCTTGGTCTTTGAAATGTCAACGAACAAAATCTACTTAATATTCCAATAAGAAAACATAACTGAACAGATCGTTTGTTTTTATTCTTTCTAGAGTCTAATGTATGTTTTTCTTTCTTAGACATTCTTTTATCTTCAAGACAAAGTTCTCTTTTAATCATTTTAATCTTATTAATTTCATTCTACAGATAGTTAGATTATATGTTAAAAAAAGAGTTATTATAAAATACAAATATTCTATATTTATCTTCAGTTATTCATTCTCTTAATCTTCTATTTATTCTAAAGTAAAATAAGTTTGTTTGTCTTTGTTTTATGGAAGTACTAAAACCTCTTAAAATAAAAAATTTAATTAAAGTTCTTTCCTTCTTTTCATAACTTCGCATTATTTTTACTGAGTTTGTTTAAACGAACTTCTATACCAAGTTATTTATAATGTTAATGCTAATAACAAGTGATTCTTTTATTCTTTCTTTTTTCTCCATGATTTAATAAGAAGTTTAAAAAAAATAACTTATTTCATACTAAGAATATTCTTCACACTTTAATAAAAAACAATACAATATCAAAATCAATAAATTATTTTTTGATTTTTAGTTACATCTTATTCTATGATTTTCATTTCAATTAGTCCATTTGGACTACCAATTTTTCTTATCAAATCCAACGCAACTTTTTTTTCGAAAAAATTATCTTTACTTTTTAACGGTCATAGAACTTTCTATTTTCTGCTGAAGGTACTTTTGTTTATATCCAATAAAAAATAATCATAAAAATTGTCAATTAAATAGTCAAAACAGTTGTTTATTCAGTCATGTTATAGTTCTGTTTGACATGTTTTTAACATGTTGATTAATGAATAGACTAATTTCTTCAATAAGTTCACTTACAATAGCAAGAATTTGGCGTTAATCTTTAAATTAATTAAATTGTTAAAGAAGATAAACGTTAAATAAAAATGAGTGAATTGAATTTCATACGATTTGGTTTTATAGCTCATTTTCATCACTTGGATTTCTTTCTTATATTTCTTTTGAGAATTTTGTTGTTTATTTTATTCATTTCTCTTTTATCTTTCTTATTTCTTTTTACTTCTTCTTTATCATTCATTTCATGTTTCATTTCTATTCATTTCTTCTTATTTTTCTTTTCTTCTTTTTATTTATATTCTTCATTTCTTCTTATCTGAATTATTTTTTTATTGTATTATTTTCTGGATTTTATTGTATCATTTCATTCTTCCTTATGTTCATTCATTATTTCTTCATTATTTATCTTATATTTTTATATCTTCTTCTTGTATATTATTTATTTGCATAACAGTGTTTGTTTAATATTCTTTTTGAGTTATTACAATGACAATTACACTATTTCACTTCTTTTCATCATAAATCAGTTTAATTAAGAATATATTACATGAAATAAATAATATAATAATAATTTATGAAAAAAACAGTTATGACTCTCACCACTGTTTATTCATTTAAATTTATTTCTTCTTGTAACATTACTTTATATTAGTTTCATGACATTTCTGTAATTCAGAAAGAAACTAAACTTTTTAGTAATCTAAAAAATAAGTTAAAACAAACTCTCTAAATTGAAGAAGAATCTCTTTGTATTGCTTTTTAATCTCAACCCTTCTCATTTTAAATGATGAAGTTCTTAATCCATGTTCTTCTGTAAACGGCGTTAATTCAATGTAAATATTTTTTTATAACTTCATAAGACTTTCTTCTTTGTGCTTTAATAAATCTGTCATTATAATTAATGATAATGCTTTATGATTTTTAGTATTGTTTAACTCAGTCAATTATTCTTTTTTAATTCTTTCTATTCCGTTACTTTGAATAAGTTTAGTCAATGATAGTTCTACTTCAACAACCAAAATTCCAACAATAAATGAATCAAAACTTTCTCCATAAACAAAGAATTATTGAACAAGTGGATAAGAAATATACATTAGTTCTAAAGACTCTGCAGCAGTATATTTTCATTGTAGTATGTTGAATATATTTATCTTTTATCAATAATACTTAATGTTTCATCTTCATTAATTCTTTAAATATCACCAATTTTTAATCAATTATTAATATTAAATGATTCTGAAGTACTCTTTTCTTAAAGTATTCTTTAAATAAAAATCACCATTTATCTCAATTTCTTCTATTGGAAACTATTAAATAAATAATATCACAATTTCTGAATATTGGAGAGTCTAAAAGATGTTCGTGGACATCGACATCCCATTGGAATAATTCTTGAGTTTTGAAGAATAAGAATTGTTCCAATACGTCAACCAAATGTTTCAGTTGAACCATACCTATTACATATAATACAATCAAAAACCCTTTTCTATTCATATACTTCAGATAATAGTAAGTACAGTTCCATAAGACTTATAGTATCAAAAACTTAATAACACCAATCAACCATATTTTTTTTTATTTATTTTAATAGTCCATTCTTTCATAAAATACGTTAATGAATAGATTCATTGGATAATATACGATTTTTGTTTTATTTAGGATTTAAAAATATGGTATAATTTTTGTAAGGTTCTTGATCATACATTTTGAAATGTTGGAAATTCTTTCTTTACTTCATCACTAAAATATTTTATATTACCACTACTAGTATACCAAATGTCCACCAGTGCACGTGAAGGTATGATCTATTTTTTATTCATAGACATGTGCTAATGGTAAATAAGAACATAGAATTTGTTCTCTTGTCATATACGTAGAACAAAATAAAGCTGAGAAACAAAAACAACAAATTAAATTAGTAATTGTATAATGTGTACGAATAATGTCTTTATGTATTTCTAGTGTAAATGAAGTAGAAAAATATTGAACAGATATCATTAACAGTAGGTAATTTTTGATGAATTAGATTATTCTCTATATTCAATGACTTCATTTAAATGAAATTGTAAAGAAGAGTATTTATTAGAAGTAAAACAAATACAACCATAATCATATAATTCTTTCATCTTTTTAATTTTTCATAAAATTTCTCATGAACAACAAATATACTTCATTGTTTAATACTAATAATATTTGGTAAATGTTCTATTGTTAAATTGGTGTAGAATTGTACAAGAGTTATTCCATTTCTATACAATGTATATTCTGTAAAAGACATCCCATCTATTTGTAGAAAAATAACTACAATATCACGTTTCCTCATTACTATAAGTTATACTGACTCTCCTCAAATAGTTCTTACTTTATTTAAATACAAATAACCTTTTAAGCCAGTATAATTTATAATAAGTCCTTGTTCAAGAGTTTTCTTTAGATAAGAAAGATAAATCTATATTTATCAATAAAATGATTAGAAAATATCCTCTAGTCTAGTCTCATCTTTTTATCTTTTTTATAAGACAAATCTACCAAACTTCATTTATTCACATTGTGTGTATATTCTCAAATAAGTCATACAATATTTTAGAAATTATAAAAGAACGATTAAAACAAGAATTTATATTCCAAAATTTTTCTTAACATTCCATATAAATCTGGTTATCTTGAATTTTTATAAGAATAAATTGTTGAACTTATTATTTAAACGATTGAACCATCATATTTGATGATGAGACATTGGTCGTTGAATGAAATATTACATTTATTATTAAAAAGACCAGTAAGTAGTTCTAATCCGCTTTAAAGGTGTTTCAAATTTATGTTTTATAACCTCCATAAAAAAATACTTTTTTTGTTATTAGAGTTTTTACTTTTGTTATTCCATAAACTAATAAAAAACTATTAAATTTAACATCACAAAATGGCTGTTTAAATGTCTGAAAATGTCTGAAAAGAAAGAAGTTACTACAGATAATGTTTCTTTTTTTTAACTAAGAGACGAATGAAAACGTCATTACTATATACACCAAAATAAAGGTATTCAATGAAAAAGAGGTGATTAAAGATATTTTTGATTAGAAAAGAGTAAATAGAAAGAGGGTGAATAAATAAAAGTTGCAAACAAATAATTTAGATTATTAAAAAATAATTATGAATAATGCCATAAACCACACAGCAAAAGCCTCGCAGTTATGAAGACAAATGATAGGAGAATTGTCACTTATTTTTTCCCCTAGAATTTTGACGATTTGTTGTTGCTCAAAAGATTGAATCTCATCAGACCTTGAGAAGGTTGTGATTTTAAGTCTTTTAAAGTCAAATTCATTTGACGTTTCTACATGAGTCAATAAACTAATCCATTCTTCTTCTTCATTTTGATAAAGACAAAAGTGAGTATCAGCCTGTAATGTAGCAATAAATAATAATACAGCACAAAATATTAAAGCCTTTTTTCTTAGTGTTGAACTAATTAGTTTTTCTCTGACAAAGTTTTCAGCAATTTGGATAGTTAACATAATTGCACTAAGATTTTATTTTTTGAGTTAAATAAGATTTTAAATGCTTTATTTTTTGTGGATTTTTTCTTTCACCTATTCATTTTATTTGTCTTCCTCATTTTTTGGAAGTTTTTTCTCCTCTTTTTTTCTTTTAAAATGTTTAGTTATTTTTCTTTATTTTTATTATTAATTTTTCTTTTCAGTTCTATTAGTTGTGGTAAAATGAGAAATAAGTAATACATCTTAAATTTCCCGATAATTTACATTTATTATTTGAGTCATTTTAAAATTAGTTCAAAAAAGATAAAAATAGGATATTCATCGATGATTTAAATAAATCAAAAAAGAATAATTACAGTTTTAAATAGATGAACCGAAAATTTCAAATTTCGAAAATGGTTCTAAAAATAAAAATAGATTGGGAACAACTTTTTCAAAGTTTTCATTTAAATTTTAATAAAAAGAAAAATTATAATAAAAAAGTTATAATATTATACTATATAAAAAAAAAACGAAGGGTTTATACAAATTGAATTAAAGGTGGTGAATCAATAGGAGTAGCAGGAGACATAGAGATAATATGAGTTTCTAATGTACTTTGGAATTTAACCATTCTAAAAAAGAATTAATAAAAGAAAAAATATCAAATAAGAAATTAAAAATAAAAAGAGAAGAAGAACAAACTGCCAAGGAAAAAAGGGGAAAGGATAAGAAGTAAAGAAAGAAGAAAGTAAAGCTTTATCAGCTGAAAGTCTTTCTAAAGGATTAACGTTTAATAAATTTTGAAGTAAAATAGATAAATTTTGATTGCATTGACATTGACTAAGAAAGTCATTTAGTCTATTTGGATAAGATTGATTTGGCATTAAGTTTTTCCAAAATTTATATTGAGAAGCAATATTTGGATTTGGAGAACCACAAATAGAATAAATTTGTGCTAATATTTCTGCTTCTGTGGCTGCTTGAAATGGTGGACGTTTAATAAAACATTCAAAAATGATACAACCAATACTCCACATATCAATTTCAGAACCATATAATGTACATCCTAATAATAATTCAGGAGGTCTATAATTTAAAGTAATAACATTATAATTACATTCTCTATAAGTAATTGGTCTTGCTAATCCAAAATCAGCTATCTTTAAATATCCTTCATTATTTATTAATAAATTACTTGGTTTTAAATCTCTATGAACAATTCCTATTGAATGTAAATATTGTATTCCAATAAGTAATTGTTTCATATATCCTTTTAATTGTCCAATAGATAATAATGATGTTGTAGATGTTGAATATAATAAACTTTGTAAATCATGTGGCATATATTCAAAAATTAAAAAAATATTTCCTTCTCCTTCACAATATTTTTCGCTTGTAGTAACTCCATATAATCTAACTATATTTTGATGTTTTAACTGTTGTAATATTTTTAATTCTCTCGCTGTTGTTTGTGCAAATCCACAATTTTCTCTAAATTCTTTCATTTCTTTCAATGCAACTATTTCACCTGTTTTATTATTTTTTCCATAATACACTGTTGAATATGTACCACTTCCAAGTTCAAATTGAATATCAAAATCTTTAATATTCATCATTTCTTCCCTCCTTTTTGATTTTTTAGTTATTTTTTATTATTTTTTTTTATCATTTTACTATTCTTTTTTTTTAACTATAATTTATAATAAAAATATTATTATTTATATTATTTAAATTTTTTAGGTTCATTTGCAAATGGGTTATTCTTTAACTCATTCTATGTTATTCTTTCTTCATCATTTATGTTTAATATTTTTTTTACAAGTGACATTGATAAAAAAAACTGTTCATTCAATGTGTTGAGTTAGATTTCTTCAATTTCATTATAATAATATTTAATTTTATTCATACTACTCTTTTGACAATACAACTAAAAATAATCAGATAATATAATAAATCACTTTTATTTGAATATTTTTGAACATTTAGTATATCAGGTATACAAAAATTGGTGTTCTAACAAAATGGTTTATTTCATTAGTGGCTTTAATAGCAATTCCAAAGTCATATAATTTAAGTCTAATAAAATTTTATTTTCATTTACTAAAAATTTTGACAACTTAATAGTTCTATACGAATATAATACAAAAAGTTGAATAAAGATATTCACATAAAAAATTATTTGTTTAAAAATATTTAGTATTTCTTTATAATTTAATTTACTATTTTTTTTATCAATACAACATTGTAAAACACCTTGACATGACTCTAATAATAAATATCCTTTATTACATTGGTTTGTATATTCATTATAAATTCTATAGCTTTTAATTATATTTAAATGACAACAAATTTCTAATATCCTCTTCTTTTAATAAATTATTTGTATATCGTCTTTTACCTTCTTTCGTTATTAATAATATATTATTTTTGTTATTTAAACGAATTACTACAATTCTACATCTATATATTCTTTTTATCTCTGTTTTTCTTCATATAATGTCATGTTAAATTCATTCAATTTTATTTATTTTACATTTGCTTTTTCATTCTTCTTCAATCCTTTTTAATTTCAAATTTTTTTTTGAGTTTTTTCAAAACCATTTTCAGTTGAATCTTTCACTTCTTTATCATCTGTAAAATAATTCTCAATTATTTCTTTTAATTCACTATTAAACAAAGAATAAAATATTATTAATAGAGTTAATTAAAATGAATAAAATGATTGTTTTTCATTAAGAATAAGAGTAAGAATATACTCTAAATTTTTAACAAACAAAGAAGATAAGTTATAGTTTATTATTATTGAGTAAATATTATTTGCTTGATTTAAACGAATATAAAATCCTTTTTGAGATATTTTAGTAGTTAAAAATAGCTACATAAATTCATAACTGATAGTAACTTTGAAAGAATATAAAGACACTTTCTATTTATTATTTTAATTAATTGAATAAATGTAATTTTTGGTAATGAATTAAATATTTCAGAGTTATTTTTATTCCTTTTCAATTTATTTAAAATAAAACCTCTTTCATTAACTCATTTTTTGAAAAACTCTCTTTGATTATTACCATATAACATTCAATATGATTGTTTTGATACAATGGAAATTCTTCTTGGTTAATTATTATTTGCCTTAGTACTTATTCTTCTTTATTTTTTAATATCATTCTCACTTTTAAATACTACCACATTTTATACTTCAATCTTCATATTTATAATACCTCATATACTTTCTCATTTATTTAGATATTTATCTCTTAATAATATTATTAGTTTTGAGTAGATTTTGCCATTATCTCTTACTTCAATTAAAATTGTTTTTTTTTATAAACACTTTTGTGATGAGGTTTTGAAGTCTTTTATGTTCTGATTATACTATAATAATTTTCCATACCTAACTACTAATATTAGCAATTTTCAAAGGATTATTATTCATTAATATAAATAATTCCAATCCTCACTCTTACAAACAAAAAAATATAAATAAATTATAAAACTTACTATATCTAACGTTCCACTAAATAATCAATGAAAGATAAAATAAGTATGATTTTGTGATTTAAAAAGAAAATTAATAAATTCTTGAATGAGTAATATTCTTCTTATAATGGGTAACATTTATTATGACTCTACCTAATTATAAATCATTAAAAAGAATCTATATTATCAAAAGAATTTGTCAAATAAAAGAAATTCATTGTAAACAAAGTCAATTATCAGAAGAATGGTCATGTAGTTCTAACGAAGAAGAAAGTGTTCTATTTTTTTAAAAGAGCCTCAATAATTTATACAAAAGAAAAAATTATTTATCATTATATGCAGTTTGGTACTATTCTTAGTGCTTTGTTTAAAAAAGTATCAAGCATTTCATTACAAGGGTATTTACTTTTTGACAGTCAAGTATCTCTTTTAAAGGCATTGTCTTCTCATACTCCACAAGGAATAATCATCTCAAAAGGTAAGTAAATTTCATGTTTTAATTAATAAATTTGTTTTTTGTTAAATATTTTGTTATTATATTTAAATAATAATTTAATAAAAAAACCAAATATTAAAAAATAGAAGCCGAATTAATAAAATGTAAAGATTTGTTTTATAAAATAAAACACATAACTTTGTTCAATGACTCTTAATAACTAACAAGCATTGAATCACCAATACAACATGTGCTTGATAATTCTGTTGAGTTTCCTTTAACACATATTAAAGTATCAAATTCAGTATAAGATATTGGTTCTAATCCAAATTCTTCAATTTCTTGTTGTTGTGTTTCTTGAATCGTATTAATTTCACCTAATTTATCAAGTAATTCAATAACTTTTTCATCATTTTCATCACCTTTAATTAATATGTTAATTGTTGGTATTTTAAATGGTTTTTTAATAAATTTATGTGGTAACTGAGTATTAAATTTTTCCATCGGAGTAATATGATGACAATTATCATTTAGAGAAATATCTCGAGCTGATCGTGTTACAATTTTGTTATTTGTTTGTACGTTATTGCTTTCTATTTTAACTTGATTAGTCATTTTATTTGATGGTGATGTACTAATCAAAGTAGATGTATTTAAAGATGTAGATTGTGATATTGATGTTGAACTACTTGATGGTGGTGGTACTGCAAGAGCAATACTTACTTTATTCATAGGAGGTGGTGGTGCTGCAACAGTAACACTTGGCTTATTCATAGGAGGTGGTGGTGCTGCAATTGAAACAGTAGGTTTAGTAAATGATGGTGGTGGTGCTGCAATAGGAACTGTTCCTTTTGAAGAGGGAGACATTGGAGCAGTTACAATATAAGCATTTGAACGAGGTGAAACTGGTGGTGGAGAAGCAACATTAACTGATGGAGAAGAATCAGAAGGAGGAGTAATGGCATTGAGTTGTAAAAGACTACTAACTGATCCAGTACTTTTTGGTGATGCACAAGAATTTGGTGATGAAGCAGCCATTGTACTTGACATAATTATTTGTGTTTTAGAAATTGATGGTGGTATTGGAGCAGCACACGTTTGTTGGTTTGAACCAACCTTAAGTTTTGATGGTGGTGGTTGTGCAAAAGACATACAAGTACCTGAATCCTTTGGAGAATATGGTGGTTCATCTATAATACTTGAAGGTATACCTATTGATGGTGAAAATGATTTAGCGGTTGTTGTTTGTTGAACTAAATGTTTTACAGGACGTGGAGCTGCTCTAGATGGAACAACATTAGTATGTTCAGGTAGATCTTCATGGGAAGAGTGCCTTCCATTTATTAATGTTGTTTGAGAAATACCACGAGGAGATATTAATGAACTAGACTCACTACCTCTTTCCAAAGAAGAATTAAATGAAACATTTTCAGACCTAGGAGTACTAGCTGTTGATTTACATGGAGAATTTCCAGAGTTTGGAGAAAGTAAATCACCAGCTGAGGAAGTTGGTTTTCTTCTGATCGATGGTCTGTCATCTATAACTAATGTCATGTCATCATCAAAAACATCTTTTAAGGTTGGTGGTTGTTGATGGACATGTTTTTTCTTTGGTACAGGTGCGGCTTTATTTGGTCTACGAGGTTGAGGTGCTAAATGGAGTGGTTTTGGTGGTAAGGAGGTTGGTGTGCTCATTGATTGTATCAAATTAATAACAAAGAGTTTTGAGTTCTCTTAGAACAATAAAAAATACTTTTTCATATCTTTTCTCTCAAAAGATTATTTTTCGTTCTTGTTGTCTCTTCATTTATTTCAGTCTAGTCAACTCAGTTGGTTTACTTTTCTCTGTTTTGTTCCTCTTCACTTTTGTTTCTTTTTAGAACAACTTTGACACACTATTTCTTTTTCCTTCTTCAAAGTGTCAAACAAACTTTTTCTGGAATTATTTACTATCACCTTCTAAATAACAAAAAAAAAATAATATATTCGAAAACAAAATAAAAAACATATATTTTTCATAAAAAAGAAAAACAAAAAATAAATACACTGAAAATTTTCATTATTTGTTGAATGACAACGATTAATGCAGTTAAACCTCATTTTTGTCCTGACTGTCATCAAATAATGCTTCCAAGAAGTTGTGGAGATGATTTATATTTTGTTTGCAGAAGACCAAATTGTGGACATTTTGAAAAAGCTGAAGACCCAACAAGTTTCTGTGTGTATATCAAAAACTTTAGTGAAACAAAAGCAACAACAGTTGCTGCAGATGTGAGTAAAGATCCAACATATCCTAAAACAACAAAGCTTTGTCCTCATTGTGGTCAACAACATGATGCTGTATATTATTATTCTGCTCATTGGAATTATAACTGTTCATTACAAATTAATTACCAATGTACTAATTGTATGTACAGTTGGGCTGAAGGAGGAATTCCTTTCGATAAAAAGGAAAAGAAAGAAGAAGGGTCGGAAAATAATTGAGAAGATATAATTTTCTTTCTCTATATATTCTTGATTATCTTATCTAATCAAAAGTAAGTTTTTTCTTTTTTTCTTATAACTTTTTATTATTATAAATTATATTCGAATATGGTAAGTTAGAGACACTATACCAACATTAAAATATATCAAAGTACTGAATCTCGAGTTATACTCCGGTTATAATGTTACCTTTGGTTATGAAACAACTTACTCACGAATTCAAGAATGAAAATGATTATTATTTATGATGATGAAATATCATTTAGTTTAATAGAAAAGTGTATATTTATAAATATGACAGGTATTATTAACTTGTTAGGACTCAATTAGATTTGAAAGTATTGGTATTGTCAAAGCAATATGATTTACATGTTGTTGTTGATAAAAGAAATTGGTCATAATAACATGGTAGTAAGGATATGTTCATCATAAAATAAGAAATTAAAGAGTGAAAAGTTTTAATATACATTACAATTCAAATAAAGACAATGTAGTTAGTTACAAGAGGAATAATTAACATGGCAATGTTTAAAAAATATGAGTTCAAAAGAAATAAATGAACAAAGACTAGAAATTCACATCTTTCAATAAGACAAAAAACTAAAAGAATAAAAGAAAAGTTGATGAATAAAAAGTCTTAAATTCATGAAAGGGATTATTATGACGTGAGCAAAAAAGATAGAAAAAAAATTTTTCAATACATTTAATTAACCATTTTTTATTTTATTTTTATAAATTATAATAAAAAAATTTAATAAACTCAGAGCAGAAAAGTATTTTGCTCAATTTCTTTTTTTTTTTATATTTTTAAAAAAAATGTTATTTTAAAATGGTTGGTCAATTCAAAAAAGATTTGCTAATATTCAAATTATGTGTGGTTCTTTGTATTTATCTAATTAAAAAATATATTTGTATTTATCTAATTAAAAAATATATTAATTCCTATTAAGTTTATCAAAATTTCGAATATATTTTGACAATTAAATAACTGTTTAGTAGTTATTTAATAAAAATAACGACGATTAAAGACGAAACCAATAATTCTGCTTTTAATTTTATTGTTTTATTCATGATTTTTGATAAAAAAAATCTTCCTTTAACACTTTTGATTTAAATTCTGTTTTAACACTGGTTTTATTCCTTCATTCTAGATAGATTTTTAAAAAAAATAATCAGATTATTAAAATAAGAACATTCTGTTGAAGAAAAATTTACTTCTGTTTAATTCATAAATTTTTTCTTTAAGGAGTGATTGTAACTAATGTTTTGTTGTTACGTTTTCTTTTAATTTAATTTATTCTTGTTAATCACAAACCCTCGAACTACTCTTTGATTTTGTTTTCTTTGTTCCTTATTATGATTTATAAATCGTTCATCCATTCATAAGTTTATATTTGTCTAGTCTAACCTCAAATTTCTTCTTAAAAATTTCATAAATATCTTATTTTATGAGTATCATGGTATGAAATCTTTATCATGTTAGGAAGCCAGAATGAACTTCCGATGAGTTATTGTTATTCACAATGCAAGAAAAGAAAACAATTCTATATTTATAAATATTTTTGGTATTACTTATTTATTTATTATTTTGATTGTATTAGAAAAAAAATGGTTTTCTAATTTTTTCGACACTTATAAACAAGGAAATAGAAACATTCGTTCAAATCATATTATTTCTTAAAAAAAAGATAATACCATTTAATTTTTTAATACCTGTTTAAAGAATGATAGAAATAACTTGTGAAAAGGAATAAATTGTTTCAAACGAAAAAGACAGAATAAAAAATAGTATCTTATTAAGTTAGCAAGAACTTTGAAATGTAGTGCCTGCAATGGGAAGTTCGAGTAGCAAAAGATTTGATCCATCATTACCACGTAGTGGAAGTCTTTCTCCAAAACCAGGTTCAAGGAAAATAAAAAAAGTACCAAAAACTTCTAAAGAAGAAAAACCACAGAATAGTCCAAGTGTTGAATATGATATAGATCCAACAAATTTATTTACACCTGAACCTAATGATTTAATAGACTTAGATGAAGAAATTGATAGAGCACAATCTTGTCATCTTCCAAATAAGCAAAAACAATCTCCACCTTCATTAATGTCTAAAATGAATAAAAGGAATAGTATCTCACCCTATCCACTTAATTCTTGTAATCCTCAACTTGAAAAATATCCTAAACCACAAAAGTTATGTTATTCTGCAAGAGTATCACCATACTTACCTTCTCCAAAACTAATGAATCCTCAAAATAAAGTGGAACCACCCTTGACCCCATTAGAACCAAGGGAAGTTTCTATTTTTGAAAAGCTAGAATTTCTTAAAAAATATACACATTATAAGAAGATGGAAATAATTTATAATAGTGATGTTGATGGTTTTGAAACAAGGGCATTAAATAGTAAAATTAGGTACCAATCAAATTTGGTGTTTATTATTATTACAAATAATGAACAATTCGGTTTTTATACTTCTGATATTGTTAATGCATTAAATAATGAAACTACTCAAGTCACTTCTAACGAAATGTTTTTATTTGTTTTAAATGGAAAAGGTACTTATCCATTTAAATTAGAACGTAAAGATACACTGAGGAGTTTTACTGTGTATTCAGACAAAGAAAGTTATTTTCTTTTTACTTGTTTTTGCGCATTTTGGGTTACATCAGATGGACAACTTAGAATTCATCAACTTTTAAAAGACCGTTACGTTCTGCCCCAAAAAATGATTAATCCAATTACTGATAGAAATAATTCTGAGAGGGGTTATTGTAAAAAAGTTATTGTAATCAAAATGAGTTAAACAAATAATTTCTTTTACTTTTTTTATATTTTTTAATGTAATAATATTTTAGGAATTTCTAAATTCATGAATTTCTTTTTTTCTCTAAAATCGTTGTTTATAATAAAAATGAAGAGGAAATTAACTATTGATACAATCAATCATTTGAATTTTAAAATTAGTTAAACTCAATGACTTTCTCTTCCCCAACTACAACGCAACGTTGATCCATTTATTATTTTACCATTACACATTAAAATAGCAGAAGTTGCTGATTCATGTTTTGAAAATTTAATAAATGCATATCCTTTATCTTTATTTAATCTAACTTCTTCTATTGACCCATATTCAGCTAATAATTGTTTTAAATCATCAGACTCTACATTTTTTGGAATATTACCAATATACACAGTACAATTTTGACTACTTGTTTCATTATTAATTTCATCATAACTCCGTTTTGGTTGTTCTGTTTTACTTGCTATGTTTGATGTAACCCAATTCACTTTAATATTTCTTCCTTCTAATTTTTCTCCATTCATCATTTGCATTGCAGTTTCTGCATCTTCTTTTCTAATAAAAGTAACAAACCCATACCCTTTAGACTTCCCCGTTTGTGTAAATTTTAATACTCGTGCATCTGTTACACGACCAAATTTTTGAAATGTTTTATAAAGTAGATCATCATTTACCTCTGGTTGAAGACCTCCAACAAATATTTTATAATTCCCTTGGTTTTCTTGTTGTGCTGTGTATGACCAATTAACTTTTAATTCTCTTCCATAAACAACTCTTCCATCCATATTATCTTTTGCAAATCGAGCAGTTGTAGAATCAACAAACTCTACAAAACCATAACCAGCATGTACTCCAGACTTATCTCGCATTATTTTACAAGACACAACATGTCCAACAATTGAAAAAATTCTTCCTAATAATATTTCGTCTACACTCTCATGAATTCCAGATACATGAACAGATTTTGAGTTAGCATTTATTGGGAGTGAAGAATCAGTTGTCTCAGTTGAGTTTTGTTGAGGTGGTCGTTGTTGATAAAGTTGTGGGGTTCTTGGAGGATATTGGTATCTTGAATCATATTGTCTTGTCATCTTAAAATCTAAATCTTTTATATTTTTGAAGATTTTTTTTCCTTTTTCATCTTTTTATCTCACCAGACTTTTAGTTTTGGTCTTCTACATCAACCATATTAAACCAAAAAAGTTGGTATTGAGGAAATCTATTATAAATGAAAAGACAAACATGTTTAAATAGTGTTAGTAAAAGAAAATTTGTGAAATGGAGAGAAAAACAAGTCTTCAATTACACAATTTTGATGGAGAAAATTGTACAATAGTTAATTATGCAGTTACTACTATCAGAGGCTGGTTTGTTGAGTTAGCTCATCCATTTCCATTATGTCTAATTTCTAGAAAAGAACCAGTCACATGCACAGTTTTTAAAATATATTACAACAAAGAAATGTTTAAACTCGTATGTTGTCCTTTATTTGTTGGTTTCTTCTCAAGAAATATATGTCTTAGTATTAATACATTTTTAATGTTCTCTAAATATCTTGATGATACTCCTACAACGCAAACATCAAAAAAATACTATTTTGATAAAAATTGCTTTGAATTTAACTCAAACCTTATTAATATTCAACAAGGAAGATACAGTAAATTCGTATTTAATGAAGAAGATAACGCTATTTATCCTATAGAAATTACAGACACACTTGATGAATCTGTTAAAATAGCTTCTTATGTTCTTCATTCATTGAGAAATAACTTTAGACCTCGTCATGGTTATAGGCATGGGTATGGAGAAGAGTCTCATCAATGGAAAAATGGTGTCTGTTTATTAACTCCAATGATTGTAAGAAGGTTATTAGAAGCAGCAAAAAACGTGTTGTTAAAAGATAATAATGTTATTCGTATTCAACCCCCGTGTTATGTTGTTGGGGATTTGCATGGAAATTATCGTGACGTTTCAGCTCTTTGTCAATTGTTTAGGTTACTTCCAGCAACATCAATTTGTACTTGCAAGTATTTGTTTCTTGGTGATTATGTTGATAGAGGAACTCATCAAATAGAAGTAATTTGTTTGTTGTTGGCATTAAAAATTATTGCACCAGACACAGTATATCTTTTAAGAGGAAACCATGAAGGAAGCCGGGTCAATGGATCAACACAAGTATATGGAAGAATGTCTTTTCTTGCCCAGTGTTATAACACATTCCAAAAGAAAGATGGATATTCATTATGGAATCAATTCAACATTATTTTCCAATACCTTCCTTTTTGTGGTGTTATTGATAACAAACTTTTTTGTGTTCATGGAGGAATAGCTAGAGAGTTATGTTCAGAAACATTAAATGCACTTGAAATTATAGACTCATTCCAAAGACCATGTAGTTGTGAAGACCCATTAATTAGTGAGTTGTTATGGTGTGACCCTGCTGACTCAAGCGAAGAGTTTATGCTAAATAAAAAAGGAGATGATGTTGGGTTTGGACCAAATAAACGAGGAAAAGGAACTTACATTTTTGGAGCTGATGCTGTAGAGAAGTTTTTAAAAAATTCTGGTTGTCGTTATATTATTCGAGCACATCAATCTGAAGAAATGGGGATAGGTTTACGACAAAAAGCCCGTGTTGTAACTGTATTTAGTTCTAGTCATTATTGTGGATTAAAAAATTGTGCTGCGGGGTTATTAATCAACAATGGACTAATGACTGCTATAATTATTTCAGGGAAAGATTATGTTCGAGAAAAAAAGGAACCACTCTCAGTTTGGTCAAATAGTGAATCTGAGTCAATATCTGATTTTGTTCTCTCACCAACTTAAATCTATTTGTTCTTATCTTTTAACCAAAGAAAACATTTATTTTCGACTTCTTCTTTGTAATAAAAAAATTTATATTCTTTTTTTATAATAATCTTTTTTAATAATAATCTTTTTTAATAATTTGAATGATTGATATAGTATAAATGTTATTAACTGTATTGTTCTTAGATGCTGCATTAGTATATCTTATCTACTTACAAGAATAAATTAAAAATATCCCTTTTATTACTTGTATAAGAGAAAATAATGAATACTTAATTTATTTCAAGTTTTAGTTTAAAAAATAAAATTTAAGAGGGATAAAATTATGAAGAATAAATTTTTCATCTTTTGCTTTTAAGAAACAACTGACAAAATCAAGACGAGAATTAATCACTCAATTTACATTTATTCTAATACTAAAACTTATTTAAACCTCATAAAATAAAATTCTAATAAATAAAAAGTAATTAATTAAGTATT